GAGCAATAGTATATTAGGTAATACATTGTTATGTCATAATTATGATTCAAATCACTCCCAATTAACTAAAAACATGTGCCATTCATTCTAGAGATGAATTTATTATATACCACACTTATATTACACCATGTTGTTATTACACCATGATATGATTATACCACACTGATATTACACCATGTTGTTATTACACCATGCTATGATTATATCACACTGATATTACATCATGTTGTTTTTACACCACACCAATTACACCATGCTATGATTATACCACACTGATATTATACCATGGTGTTATTACACCACACTAATTACACTATGATATGATTATATCACACTGATATTATATCATGTTGTTTTTACACCACACCAATTACACCATGCTATGATTATACCACACTGATATTACACCATGGTGTTATTACACCACACTAATTACACTATGCTATGATTATATCACACTGATATTACACAATGATGTACTTACACCACATTAATTACACTATGCCATGACTATTATCACACTGATATTACATCATGTTGTTTTTACACCACACCAATTACACCATGCTATGATTATACCACACTGATATTACACCATGGTGTTATTACACCACACTAATTACACTATGCTATGATTATATCACACTGATATTATATCATGTTGTTTTTACACCACACCAATTACACCATGCTATGATTATACCACACTGATATTACACCATGGTGTTTTTACACCACACTAATTACACCATGCTATGATTATATCACACTGATATTTCGCCATGGTGTTTTCAACACCACACTAATTACACCATGCTATGATTATACCACACTGATATTACACCATATTGTTAATACATCACATTGATTACATTCAGTAAAGACACAATGAATACAGCACACCAATAACACAAATACAAACGCATGCAAACTAAATAAATGTGTCAGATGAGAAAACATCCTGCAAATGCTGATTAGTAGAACACATAATACCACACAACATAGAATGAAATGAACATAATAGATTCAAGAAAAGTGATTTTACAACATCATAACATGGCAATAAACAAAAAACGATACAGGTAAAACAGCATAACAAAAAGTAATGAATACAGCTGAAAACAAGTATAAAGCATTACCTTGCATATTACCTACATATGCAGAAAGCAAACAAGAAAAAGAAATAGCATATTGCATCAGTGAGCAAGTTAGTAAGGCAGCAACATACTGACTGGCATTTGTAAGAAAGACATTTTAAGCAGTATAGTGGTTAGTTATATTTACACAACTCTCTGACCTTTGACCCTCTGAGCATCAAAGTCAGTTTTCACAAAATAAACATGCATACTTTTTTCTTTATTTTTCAAAAAACTTGATCAAAAACAGTAAGACGAAATTATGTTGATTTGGTCCTAAATTAACATGACATGACAAGACATGACAGAAATAATAATAAAATTGTGAAAAATCTAAACCAACATTTTGGGCTGAACTATTATGGAATTGAAACTTTATTTGTCGTGAACTAAAACTAATATTTTTGCAGTACACAAAATAGGAATTAACAAAATAATGAACTAGACACACTGTATGTACTTTGAATTGACAGTATTACCAAAGTATGTGTAATGACTACTATAAAAAATGTTGTTTGTGTGTGACACAAATGTGTGACAACATCACTTCAGAGTAAAAGTAGATTCCTGGAAAACGTTTATTTTATTAGCTGCAGATATGTCAGCAATGGAGTTTTGATGATAGCAAGTTAATCCAAAATCATGCCATTGCCATGGTAACTATTGTCATGCAATACACAACTGAAAACATGCTTTTTGGTCAAAATATACCTGGTTGGGGGTTAAACAATTGGACCTTGTGTGAAAATAGCTTTTTGACTGAGCAGAAAGAAATATTTAAAGTTTGGTTAGTAATAACAAAAAACAAAACTGTCTGAAAATTGTACTAAATCCGGAAGTTTTTTCAAAATGACCATTTTGAAACAATTCATCAAAAACAGTTCAAGCATTTTTTTTATCTTACAGCAATATGTTCAGGCAACAATGATTCAGATTCAGAGCACAAATGCATATAAATAACAAAATTGTACTTTTTCATATTATTGTCAGTACAATAGCTCAAACTAATCAGCATTCGTCTGCAAAAATGGGATATATTAGAATTTATTTGCATAAAATAGCATATATCAGAAATAATCTGCATAAATTAGCATATATCAGAAATCATCTGCATAAATTAGCATATATCAGAAACATTTGCATAAATTAGTATATTAGAATTCATATTCATGAATGTTCCAACATTTGATAAGGCATTTGATATAAATTTTATTATTTCTAATATTTGCATAAATTACTCACCACTTGTTTGCTCGCATTGTTCAATTCTTTATGAACAGACTCGTCTGTGGTAAGTTCTTCTCGCATACGCTTTCTTGCCGCAAGTCTCGCCATCAATTCATCTTGTTGTTTTTGTTTCTGGGCATCAAATTTGTTTTGGATTCTCTCTGAATTCTTGTCATAATCTGCCATTATTTTGTCTCGTTCTTCTTGCGTTTTGTTGCTGTCTTCCATTAATCCCTGAAATCATGAGCAAAATATTTGGCAATTAGAAATAGTCGCTTTTAAAATTCTATGAACTACAAGTTCAATTTAAATTATCAAGAACACCAAAAACACTTGCATTGTAGTGTTGAATACAAAAATGCCATACTAACATTCAAGGCTGCCCAATAAGCTCTCTGTCTTTCTTCAGCCATGACTTCATCTGCTATTTTGAGTAGAGCTTGTTCTTCTCTTTCCCTGTCGGCATCTTCCTGAGTATTTGCAGCTAATAAATAGACATGAAAGCTTAATTAGAACAGGCTTTTATTATTAATCAAGGAGTGGAACACTTATCAATATTGTTTGAACTGATTTCCTACCATCAGTCTTGAAATACTTACTCTCTAGGTATTCTTTTCCTTCCTCAGTGCCTGGTTTAATATTCGATGGAAGGGATTTTTTATCTCGCTTTCTGTCTTTACGGGCTTTCATTCGGTCTTTCATATTCTTTCTCATATCTTTATTTTGTGCATTTTTCTGTAACCAAGACAACCATAAATGTCAAGTATACATTACATTTCTCTATTATTGGTTGATACACTTATAATAAATTGGAATAGAGTATGATGAATGAACATTGAACACAAGATTTGTTGAACAACCAGATTTTTCGAAATCTTAGTACAACTCTAAGGTGGCTATATTCTGGTATATTACCTATGCCATGTAATATCGCCATTTTGAAGACTTGCATGACTGTATTGACAGCCATTTTGAAGACTTGCATGACTGTATTGACAGCCATTTTGAAGACTTGCATGACTGTATTGACAGCCATTTTGAAGACTTGCATGACTGTATTGACAGCCATTTTGAAGACTTGCATGACTGTATTGACAGCCATTTGAAGACTTGCATGACTGTATTGACAGTCATTTGAAGACTTGCATGACTGTATTGACAGCCATTTTAAAGACTCGCATGACTATATTGACAGCCATTTGAAGACTTGGGTGACTGTATTTACAGCCATTTTGAAGACTTGCATGACTGTATTGACAGCCATTTTGAAGATTTGCATGACTGTATTGACAGCCATTTTGAAGACTTGCATGACTGTATTGACAGCCATTTTGAAGACTTGCATGACTGTATTGACAGTCATTTGAAGACTTGCATGACTGTATTGACAGCCATTTTAAAGACTCGCATGACTGTATTGACAGCCATTT